TCTTCGCATTCCTTTGCAGCTAGTGAGGCTCTTGTAATTTAATGTGCCAGTGCCTGCTGTCTGCCCTTATCCAGACATCAGTAGGAAGTAACATGTTGGCAAAAATCATGGGAGCATTAAGGAGTGAGGAGAGGAGTCAACAAAGGGAATGTAAGGCATGGAAAGCGTTTGGCCTCTGAACTCAAAAGTTGACTGCTCAGCTGCTCCCCTAACTAGCATTTACATGGTGCTTTGTTATCCTTTCATTTCATGCATGTGTGGGCATGAATAGTGCAGTGAGTTTGCATCCAAGTGTTGAGAATTTCAAGAAAATGGTAAACAAAAATGTGATTGAATGTGCATTTCCATCCACAGCTCCTATGTAAACAGTAGGAACTCCATCTTGTTGTGTAGGTCCATGGTAACTGAAGTAATTTGGATTCAGACATCCAACAGAGCTATGACTGAAGGTCAAAAAAACAGACTTCACAATAAAGGCTGGTGACTTATCTTGATTTGGTTTAAGTAGCATTTTTTCCTTTGTTTGTTTTTTGCTTTGATTTGTTTTTTTTTTCAGCATCAGGAGGCAAGCCCTGATTCTTATTAGCTTTGTTCTTTTATTGGTTTTTACCTCATTTGAAATCTGAAACTTGAATGAACATGGCTTTAAAACCCACATGAGTGTGTCACAGCTGTAAGGTTAAGTTGAATGGTTTCAGTCACAGAGTTACATTATGCAATGTTTGGTGTAACAGCTCCTCAGGTTCCACTCGGAGAGCATAACATGACTATTCAAACAAAGGCGTTCACATTTCTTTACTCCACACGTTCAAGGACCAGCTGATAGCTACTGCTGTTCATGGTCCAATATTTCTGTAAGCAGGGAGTAGAAACCCTTTGTTTTCTCTGATACAGGTCTAGTGCAACGTCTGTTCCTAATGTGGAAAGTCACAATAGTAGGACGTAAAAGATTTTACAGCTACACAGCCCACAGCTGACAAAGTGTTTGTTGTGTCACTCAGGAAGTGTCTTCATAATGTTTCTACAGCTTTGTGTTAATTATGACTGTAGTCATAATTCACTCTAGTCTTTTCATGCTCATGTCATCATACATATATATCTGTTGCATCAGCGTATATTCGTATATTCTTGTTGTAATAGAACTAAATATCAGACGGAGTCATGCTCTGCCTTTGTCTCCAGGTAGTGTATGTCACAGGTGTTTGTTTATGTGTGTGTTCATGTCAACAACCAACCCATCTCTCACTGTGTCCCATGTTGTCAGCCTGACTGTACCCACTAAAACAGAACCAGTGGGTTCAAACCCCTTTGAAGATGAGGATGAGGAAGAGGAAACAACCACTGAGCAGCACGCCACAGTCAACCACATCAGTGTGAATAAAAAGGAAATAAAAATGTTGGTGAACATGAGAAAACACTTCGCCCACCTTTCTTTTTCTCTCTGCTTCGTGGATCGCCGTCTGTTCTGCGTCTCCTGCAATTACTTTGTCTTCGTTACTTGCTCCCTTCTTCCCCATATCCCTCTCTCTCCCTTCAGGTGGCAGGCTGTTGTGTTGCTCTGCATGGTCACTGCACACAAAGCCAGTGTGTGTCTGTCTTGTAGATCAATACATGTCATGCGCATGATGACGCACGTCTCTGCAGTCAGAAATCCAATGTTTCTTACAGTCAGACCTGAATATTGACACATTTATATAGATTGGTCCTTCATTTTAGTTTCAAGCGTACATACAAATCTTAATGCATATAAGAACATTTAAAGTGCAAAATGTGTGAATTCAACCTATGGGCAAACTGTTACACTGCATATTTGTTGGTGAAAATTAAACTCAACTTATTTACTTAATGGCAGAAGAAGAATGAAAGTAAACCAGTGTCAATAGTGGAGTATCCCCTCTGAATAGGTCTGACTGTAAGTCATTTGTGCATGTGCTGTTGTGCGTTTTATTTTTTTTTCTTTATCTTTCTCTGAGCTGTTTTCTCAGGTGTTTAGGTGGCTCCCTCTGCTGGCTGCTGAGGTTAACCTCCAATCATGCATTCACAACAATGATTTATTATGCTTACTGTATTTCTCATGTGCTTTTTGATATGTTGCCATGCTATTATTTTGCATTGCATTACCTTAGCATTATGTGCACTTTCACTGGAAGCTGTTGGTCTTAAAGTGGCATGAAGGTGACTTTTAAATCATTTATTATGCTGCTTGAACCAAACACTTGTGTTGTAGCATTGATGCCAAACAAAAGCATGTTTTCCACTTAGTTAGAACTGAAAGTAGGATGTCTTCAGGATAAATCACAAAGCTGCCAGTGAATCTGAAAATGCATTTTGAGTTTTGACTGTACTTTCATTTTTATTTTATTTTTTTCACTTTTCTTACTTTGAACTTTTGTTCCTGCTTACGCCTATAAGCCTGCTGGATTGTCCCGTTAATGCATATGGCCCTGAGACAAATCTGAGACTACATTTTATAATTGCTGCTTTGTCTGTCTATCCTGTGCGAGCAGTGTGGAGAAGAGTGCAGACTGGTCAGATGAAGATGCAGGTGGCAACCCTTTTTCTGCCAACGGTAATGGGAATCCGTTTGAAGATGAGCCGGCTTCTCCGGTCATATCTGTACCAGTCAGAGCCCTCTATGACTATGAAGGACAGGAGCAGGATGAGCTCAGCTTCAAAGCAGGTACATAGCAGAAGGGAGGAGGCATGACAGACACTTTTTACAAATCTGTCAGATCCCAGTGGGTTTTTACAGGTTTTTATTTCTTTTTAGGAGATGAATTCACCAAACTCAGTGAGGAAGATGGGCAGGGTTGGTGCAAAGGTCGGATGAAGGATGGACAGACAGGTCTCTATCCTGCCAACTATGTGGAAGACATTCAGTAATGAATTATCACCGATGGAACAAATGTGATGAAAGAAAGAGGGGTGTTGAAAAATGACAGTGGGGCTGGAAATAATGCTCTGCCTTATTTTTTAACCCTTTACTCTCCATTGTTGAAGACTGAACTGTGGTTGGGAGGAGGACAGATGAGAGAGGTTACCAATTATAAAGGACCACTTGATATATTGTTGCTTTGACCCTCATAGAAGCTCAATACAAGGTGAAAATGAACCGTGGTTCCAGATGATTTGAGGTGGGGGGAGCTCCCAAAGAAAATTTGCTGCCAGTTTAAGATGTATTCCTTAGAATTCCATTTATGCTGTTACAAAAATAAGTTTTTCAGCTATATATTACATAAGACTCGATGAGGTTTATGTGAGAAATATTGTTTAAATAAAACACTGGGAATGACAGTCTGACAAATCATCTTGCAACATTACATGCAGCCTTAATACGCAAGCCACTATGGATTCATTAAGGGAGATGACCCTTTTTATAACATTACTCATTTATACCTGTTCCTGAATCCAGGTTATGGATGTTTAATAATAATCTGATATTTTAGACAAAATCGTGTCAGATTTAACGTGATTTTAAACTAGTACTTTATAGTATATTATAGTTTATAGTTATTCTGTCGTTCCTTTCAGGGTTTAGTTTTTACATTCAGGTTGTAAGCTGTTCTGGTTGTTTTATAAAGAATGATTAAGACCAGTAGAGCCTTAATTTGATATGGTCTTCATTTAGTTCACAGTGGGTAACTTTCCTCTAGTTACTGCAGGTGAATGTATATTCACAGATTGTATATCCTATTCACTTTTCACCACTGAACAGCTGTCCTGGCCTTTCATACAAATCTCTCTAATTGTAGAATGTAATATGGGTTTTTTATACAACACTGAAATATTTTCACTGAGGTTTTTCTCACTTGAATTTCCATGTTTTAGTTATTTCACTTGACAAATATAAAGTTATTGAAGGATAGTTTAGTGTTTCTCTTCTGAAAATATATAAGAAAGTATAGCAATAAAGCCACAGCCAGGTATGGTATTGCATACGTGCATGTAAATAGCCAAGATTAAACATATTGGAGCAAATTAAACATTGAGGTCAGCTATTGCACATGTAGCTGGAAAGTGATGAATGTTAATTTATGATGCCGCAAGTGCTTTTGTTCTACTCTTGTTAGAATGCTGACTGAGGATGAGTTTGTACATTAATAAAAAAAATCCCTTGAATGTGTTATATTGTTATATTTGTAAATGTGATTCATTTTCCCTCCACAAAGGGCCGTACTCATTGAGTTAATCAACAAATACTATGGATAATTGAGTGTTTTCTCCTAGTAGCTATGGCATAAATGATGTACCTGATTTTGTCATTCTAATGTTCATTTTCATCAACTATCTGACAGCATTTTGTCAGAGTTGAATTGCAGAGTTTTCACTTGTGCAAGCTGTAAATGCATTAACTGTCTAGTGTATTGATGAAATCAGTGAAAAATACTATTTGAGGCCTTAAATGGCAGCACAAGAGTAATTGTGTTGTCTTTTAATAATATGAGAAAGATGTTTTGCCATGTTTTCGGGGCACGCTGTCATCAAAATGCAGCAACAGCTGCACTTGCACAGTAAGGTTTGTAAATGTTGTCCAACAACACAATAAATTTATTGGAAAAAAAGATTGTTTTTGTATTGACTGCTGATATTTGTTAATTTTGTCTTTTGAGGGGATCAAACCATCTTAAATGTTTTGGTTTGTGGCATTAGGAGACAATATGCCACATACCAAGACAAAGTAAATATGTAAATAAATATTCAAATAACATTTGTGGAGTGATGTAAAGCTAGAAAATAGATAACTTAGTAAAAACTTTATTAGCAATCTAAATTAGTTGATTTCTTGAATAACATAGATCTAACCCTAAAAACTGATGCATATGTACAGAACAGTCCAAAAGTTACTGAATTTATCTTCAATGTATAGCAGTTCTTCACAAAAAATATTTTATTTCTAAAATATTATATAAAAGATCTAAGCACTCTTTCAACATTATAAAAGTAAGCTACGGTTACAAATTGAGATAAACAACATTACCCAGAATCCTTTGCTACAACAACATAACCACGTGTACGTTTTACCCAATCTGCGCCAGGCCATGGTGTTCTCCTACTGACGTGTCGTATTCAGCTATTATCGGGGAAAAGGCGTTTTGTTTTCATGCTACTTCTTTAACCAGCAGGTAGAACCATGTCAGAGCCCAGGAAACAAGATATTTCTGCCATTTTTAAGCGACTACGCTCCATTCCCACGAATAAGGTGAGAGTTTTATAAACGACACACGGTCTACTCCAACAAGGAAGTCGGCTTAACATTAAGTAAATATGTGACACGTCGCACTTTGAGGAAACCCTAGGTTAGCTTTCATTTATTATCTTAATTTAGCTGTTACCCGATAGGTTTCGCGTTAAAAATAACTTGGTTTTTCTGCAGCGACTCAGCTGTGCCTTGGTGACATTTGCAGGAAGAAACTGTCAGAAAAATCATGAAATGCAACCAAACGTAACGTTAGTCAAGTGACGGGCAGCCTAGCTAGCTACATTTAGACAGTTGGCCCAAGCAGGGTTTTTTTCGGGCTTTGAGTTTATATGGTTTATGTTTAGTCGAGGTCACTGTCAGTAGTGCGGACGTCCTGTATCGCAGTCACAAGTAAAACAGCTTCCTGCCATACCAGTTAGACTTAACGCTAGTTTCATTGCGAAATTCAGCTCACTTTACCAGCAGCTGTCCAGACAGCTAATTTTATTGGTAGTATGCACGTCAGACTTTATGGGTACACAGTAGCTGTTTTAAACTGATTAAAATCCCTTCACATTGTTGGCTTCTACGTCTCTGATAATGATTTTAGACTATGATCATGACTTAGGAATGACTTGGAACATAAACTTTATCTGTTTATATTTAGAAGTAAAGCTTTATTGTTATGTGTCTTTTTGCTCCCTTCTCTTTAGATTTGCTTTGATTGTGCAGCTAAGAACCCCAGTTGGGCAAGTATCACCTATGGTGTTTTTCTGTGTATAGACTGCTCTGGGACTCACAGGTCTCTGGGGGTACACCTGAGCTTCATTAGGTAAGTCACTACTTATTTATATGCACTTTTCAAAATGAGAGTTACAGAGTGCTACAATAGCATTTAGCATCAAACATTAAACATGCAGAAAGTAACAAACACTTAAGCAACAGAATTGTATTTCAACAAAAGGCAAGCATCTGTTAGAGAAGCATTAGGAAACCTTAGAAACCATTAGAGACCCCTAAAAACAGTCAACTGAATTGTTTTATCTAATAGTGAAAGGCAAACTCATCCAGAGTTTAGGGTCAGATAAAACAAATACTCTGTATCTTTCATTTTAATCTGATCTCTGGTAACATCTAGTAGAGAGTTAGCTGACCTGAAAGACTTGAATGGGCTTCATTCGAGTAATGTGCTCCTTGTGTTTATCTTTGTTAGAAGATGAGCTGCAGGATCTACAGCTCCTGAGCATCGAGTATAATAAAATTCAATAAACTAGTGATGAAACAACAGAAGGATTTATTTTTAGCACTTTCAAAAGACGCTGTCAGATGTTTGAAATGTTTCTTATGTGGAAAAGAAACCCCCATCTGATATGAGCAGGAACCTTCAGAAAAGAGTCAAATGAAAGGGGGGGATGTATTTGGAAGCTGAGTTACGGTTTATCCCCGTCAAACCCTAACCTTGCTGTGTTTCAGGTCTACTGAGCTGGATTATAATTGGTCTTGGTTCCACCTGAGATGTATGCAAGTGGGAGGCAATGCCAATGCGGTGAGTACCACAGGACACTGTCAATCATTTGTAATCCTGGATTTACTTGATGCTCATATGATTTAACTTGATGACTCCTGTTTACGTTTCTGTGCCTATTTGGACCTTCCTTTTGCAGTTTGCATTTTTCAGTCAACATGGGTGCATATCCAGTGCTGCCAATACCAAGTACAACAGTCGAGCTGCTCAGCTGTACAGAGAGAAGATAAGGACTTTAGCCACACAAGCCACCAGATGTCATGGCACTGACGTAATGCAGACATGTTCCCTGTGTAAAAACAGGTTGCAGGTTGCTCCACAGAGTGAAAGAAAGCTGTAGCTGAAATACTAAATCAAATCAACTATGGTTTTCCATGTAGTACTTATGTGCTTAGAGCATAGATAGTTAAATCAGTTTTATTGCTTTTCTTCTCCACAGCTGTGGCTTGACAGTCAGGCTCCTTACTCTCCAGTGTCACCTGATGACAAACAGGTGGATTTCTTCAATCTGCATTCACAGGTAAAGGAGTGTGCTTCCCTTGCCTAGGTTATGATTTGTTTAAACCCACATATCCACTTGGATACCAACACAGTGACTGGGGTTTAGTCGTTTCACCATGTGTGTCTGTTTAATTCCCAGAATGATCCTGAAAATCTAAACATGGCCAAAATGAGCCTCACCTCCTCCACATCAGAGAAGCCTTTAACCCCAGAAAAAAAGGAAGACAACAATGGTATTGACTGTTTCTTCTGAACAAAGTAACGTACAGTGGCAAGAAAAAGTATGTGAACCTTTTGGTATGTCATGGTTTTCTGCATTAATTTGCCATAAATTGTGATCTGATCTTCATCTAAGTCAAGTATTGACAAATATAATGTGCCTAAAATAACACACAAAAAATCTCAAACCAGCGATGTTCTCTGGAGAGGATCTGGACTTCACTGTCCTCAAAAGAATGTCCTTTGTCCTTCAGGTGGAGGTGGACTGCTGACTCTGGTCCACTGGGGTTGGCCCTCCTGTGTTGGGCCATGGGTTTGTGCAGCGGTTGCTTGTTTTCACCAATGTACAAGTTGTTGTACAATGCTCTGTGCCCATTAGAGATCCAGCCACGGGCCCATCCATCTGCTCACTCTCATCAGCCCATAAAACCTTTGAAAAATCTGTCTTCAGATATTTCTTGGCCCAGTCTTGATGTTTCAACTTGTGTGTCTTGCTCAGTGGTGGTCGGGTTTCAGCCTTCCGTACACCTTGGCCATGTCTCTTGCAGTTCTGGAACATGACAGCACTGTAGGATACTGGGTTCATAGTAGTTTCACGTTTGCTTCTTCTCAAATCTTTTGCAGTTAATTTGCGTCCCTTTTCCTGAACATGTTTCTTGCGACCCTGTTGACCATTTGCAACAAAACATTTGACGGTTCTGTGATTACGCCCCAATATCTTAAAAATTTCAAGAATGCTGCATCCCTTTGAATAACTTTTTACAATTATTGACTTTTCACATTTGGTTAAGTCTCTTTTTTGGCCCATTTTGCCTGAGGAAAAGAAGCTGCCTAATAATTATGGACACCTTGATATATGCACACCCTCCCTCATTACACATCAACTGATATGCTTAAATTCAATAGGCATTCAAGTTTATACAGCTTGGAGTTGGAAAATATACACAAAATGATGATATGGTCAAAATACTCACTTGCCTAATAACTGCACACACAGTGTATTATTATGTGGAATGACATGACCAATAGAGTTTGTTAAGTGGCAAGGTTTCACAAACACTAGGGGCAGCTGATGCTAAATTACAGGATAGGGTACCACTTGCTCATCAACAATGTTTTAGCACAAAAACGTCAATGTAAAATATGCTTAGTACTACTAATAAAAATATGGTACAAAACTAAAACGTTATCCTTACACAAAAGGCTGTATTTAAGTGAAATCTTTACCAACATTGATGATATTCTCAGATTATCTAGAAAAACAATGTATACACACTAACAGATTTTCAAGTGCACTATAACCATCCCAAGCATGTTTTTAAAACTTGTCCAACTGTAAAACGTGTATTTTAGCCATTGCAGCTACTTATTTAATTACTAAAAAAAATTAAATGGAAACAAACATTGTGGCTGCAGATGAACTACTCATTTCAACAAAATAACTTATAGTCGAACACTATCATGTTGTCCGTGATAAACTGTGATATCTGCTGTTACACAAAAAAAAACTCTTCATGACCATGAAAGGTTATTACTATAAATACCTAAAGCTGGCTGTGTAATGATCTTTGTTGGTGCAAATCAATCCAAGTGAAATAAGGAAGACATTTAAAGACTCACTGCTTTGTATCGCTGACTTCCATCTTCAGAGACAATGCCAGACCTTGGGTCAGACTTTCTGACTGTAATACACAACTAGACCACAAGCACATATTCACATTTAAAAATCAAAAGATTAGTCACATCTCTGTCACTAATGCCTCTCAGGCTCCCATGGATCACTGCAGTTACGGCTGAAAATTTTTATTACAGCGTGGTGGTTGTATGCCTCCGTCAACCAGCCAAATTCAGGGAAATGGGACCGATGCGAGAATTCAGTGACTTCAACTTTGACTAGTGAAATCTAATAAGATCATCCTCAAGTTCAAAAGATTGTTTATGCCAAATTTGAAGACTGTTCCTGAGATATCATGTTCACAAAAAAGGGCCAGACAGATGGACAAAAAACCTGAAAACATAATGCTTCCACCTACAAATATCCTGGGCACAGAGGGATAAAAAAAGCAGGATACAGGAAAACTGTATAAAAATATTTCAAATGTCTGTTTCTAATTGGATATTTAAAAATATTTGGTTGATTGCTACAGTAATTGATAAATAAAAAAAGCTGTTTTAATACAGAAACCACCTTCGTTTCAACCTAAGATGCTGCCAACAGGATGTCTTCCCCAGAAGTTGAGGCTGGGCTCTCCTGTAAAAGGATACAGGGCTGGGAACATCCTGAAAAGAGCACAAGCACAACTTTTAAGTAAAAGGATTTGACAAATACACTTCACTATACACAACCTGATGGACCAAACAGAGCAACTAGGAAGGAGACTCTCCACTAAGGTTACCAGAGAAATCTTTCAGGAGATCTCAAGTTTCATGGAAGCGCCTGGTTGAGGTTATTGCTGCCAAGGGGGCGTCAACCAGTTATTTATTCCAAGGATTCACTTACCTTTTCCACTACCATTTTGAATGTTGAATGAGTGTCTTCAATAAAGACATGAATGATCAGAATTTGTTTTATTATTTTAGGCATGTTATATTTGTCAATACTCGACTTAGATGAAGATCAAATCACATTGTATGACAAATTAATGCCGAAAACCATGAAATTTCAAAAGCTTCACATAGTTTTTATTGCCACTATATATGAAGACCAAAAAATTCAAACAGGCCCTAGTTGTGTTTGTCCCAGTGTCATTTATGTGGTTCTTCACATGTACATTCAACTTACTCAGGTAACTCAGAGGAAGGTCCAAGTGTGGAAATGCTGAGTGTTTCTCCAAAAGCAAATCCAGGTTGGTTTCCATTCTTTGTGTTTAGGATTCTCCATTTTATTAAAGGAATTTGTGCATCTGATGTGATAAACCAGCGGTCCCCAACCTTTTTTTTTTGTACCACGGACTGGTTTCATGCATGAACATTTTTCCGTGACCAGATAGAGGCGCGGGGGTTCCAATAACAAAAATCTTTGTCAGTTCATAGTATGTAATTTGAATGCAACAATTACACTTTATATTAGGCAATTACAACAATTCTACACTATATAAACTCACCATAATGTCATGTGAGTGGGAGCCCTGGGCTTGTTTCCCTGCAACGAGATGGTCCCATCTAGGGCTGATGGGAGACAATGACACACGCAATGTGTTCCTTATGTCCAGGCTGCTCCGTAATTTTGTCTTGGTTGCTGTCACTGTAGAAAAGTCTGCTTCACAAAGATACGATGTTGGAAATGGCAACAGCGTTTGCAATGCTCTTATGGCGATTTCAGGATATTCTGGCTTGATTTTCATCCAGAACATCAGGCAGAGTTGTTGTCTCAAACATATGTTTAAGGTCACCATCATTTGCAATCTCCAGCAGCTGATCCTCTTGTTGCACAGACATGCAGAGCGGCCTTGGTGCGTGAGAGTCACCTGTTGCCATAAACACATATTTTAAGTATGACTCCTGATATTGTCTGTTAAAAGAAGCGTTCTTTTTCTTGGAGGTCGTGGGCTCCTCTTCTGGTTCCTCAGTTGGCCTTTTCCCCTTTGAAAGAAGCTCTTCAAAGACGTTTGTGTTTTACTCATTTTTGCTAGTTTGCAGGCTTTTTTTGTTTAGCAACGTATCACGTGACGTCGTGACCAACACATGCGTCTTGACGTGTCAAGGGGCACAGGTGGATCATACATCGGAGAAAATCCCATCGTTTTTCATAATAAAATATCTTCCAGACTCTAAAAATCAATGCAATGGAAATTATATAAATTATTTATTCTTTCTGTGTGGCCCGGTAACAAATGCCTCACGGACCGGTACCGGGTCACGGACCGGTGGTTGGGGACCACTGTGATAAACTGTAAGACATACATCTTCACTGTCCTTCAATGTTCCCAGAGGTGTCCTCTCTTCTCAAAAAGAAGCCAGCTGCTGCCAAGAAGACCGTATGTACAAAGCCGTATATTGAAAGCAGAATCATTATATTGCTGTGTATTTGTGACTGAACAATGTTCATGGACTGTGCATTCAAAGTCTTTTTTTTTGTAAAATGTGTCCACTTCCAGTTGGCTGCTAAGAAGGGTGGTCTGGGCGCTCATAAGGTTAGCAGCCAGAGTTTCTCAGAGCTGGAGAAGAAGGCTCAAGCTGCAGACAAGCTCAGAGAGAGAGAAGAGGGTGCCGTTAGTGCCAAGAAGAATATCCAATCTGAGGAATCCATGTGTGTGTCTTTGCTTTATTCTTTTTGATGTTTTTACCCTCTTAGAGGTCATTAAATGACCCTCCTGCTACATTTGTTACCTGTTTTTATTATTAGCTGCTGCACCTCCCTTAGGTTTGATTTTTTTTTTTTTACTAATTTGCTTTCATCCTCATCGCAGCACTCCATCCCTGCGTCTGGTTTACAAAGATCTTGAGCAGCAGAGGAAACTAGAGGAGCAGAAGTTGAAGGGATTCGAGGGCAAGAAGAAGGAGCAAGCTGAGCGACTGGGGATGGGTTTAGGTATCAGGAGGTATGATGATGAAGGGAGATATACTAGTGATGCTGTAGCTGACTGAAGAATTGGCTTTCTCCTCTTATATTGCTCTCTCTACTGTGCTCCATAGTGGAGTTTCTCACTCTATGACATCAGACATGCACATCATCCAGCAGGAGAATCCACTGGGGACCAAGACCACCAGAGGACGGCAGTTAGCTGAGGAAGATGATGATGATGAAGGCTCATTCAGCTCCAGGTCAGATGACGACAGAAAGGCTGCCTTCTCCTCAGCTGTTAATGATGAAAATGTTTTGTTCACCTCAGGTTATTAACTTTTCTCCTTTAGAGTCTTGTCCCGGTTTGAGGATCAAACTGAAGCATCAGATAATTTCTCCTCACGTTGGGGTGATGGAGGGGCTGGTGGAGGTTGGATGATGGAGACAAAGAACTCAGAGCGTGACATCTACTTGTCCTCCACTATATCTTCACTAGATGACAGGTAGGATATTGTATGTTCTGATGTTTGGTTGCTCTCGTATTCACTCAGTTCATGATTTTGCACAACACTTTTGCAGGACTTACTGCTGTTGGTCAATAGAAGTAGAAATTGAAGCTTGGAATCAAATTGTCATAGCATTATGATCACTGATTTCAAGCAATTTGTAATTAACAAAATGAAGTTTTAGTTATTCACCAAGCAACAGTTTTGTCTGGTGTGTTCAGGTGGTGCGAAGTCGGGTGAAGAAAAACATTTATGCGTTTCTAACACCCATAGCTGCAACTAACATTTATTTTTATTATCAATTCATGTTCCGAATCTTTTTTCGATTAAGATATTGATTTTGCCGTCGTTTATGACAAAGAAAAACAGAAAATTCTTCCATTTGAATGGCTGGCATTTGTCTTTAAAAATATCTCAAATTTTTAATGGTGGGCAATTAGTCAGCTGTTTGACTAATGGATTAATTGATCGAGCTTTAGTAATACCACTTATAAGTAAATGTCAGGTTCGACTACCAAACGGATGAAAAAGAAATGTGTGTCCTGGTGTGTGGAGGAGGTGAACTTGAGTGATAAATTATTTTTATGAGATACTAATGAAGGTGTGCTGTTACCATAAATAGTTATGGTTTAAGTTATTCATTTCTACTAACTGTTTGTTACCAGGCCAACATCCAGAAGAAAACCAGAAGCGGTGCCAGTCTCAGACACAGGAGAAGCTCGGAGGAAGTTTGGAAATGAGATCAAAGCCATCTCCTCTGAGATGTACTTTGGAAAACAAGACAACTCTGAAGTACATAATTACAACATGCATCCTGTCCTCTCAGTACATTGTTCATATATTGTGTTGTGGATGAAGGATGTACAATATTCTAGCAGCTATAATAGTGATCATGTTGATGTCTGAAACATTGGATAGTGAGTTGTAGATGTAATTATGGGCTTCAACCTAGAAGTTTGCCAGAACAGATATTGTTGAAGTTTGACTTTAGCCTAAAATTAAAAGCATATTTACATTTTCTACGCTTCTTTTGTTTAGTATGAGGCCAAAACAAGACTGCAGAAATTTTCAGACAGTGCCTCCATAAGCTCAGCAGACCTTTTTGATGATCCAAAGAAACCGACTGGTAAGAAACTACATCACTGTTGCAAAGACATTTGAGTGTATGAGTTGTTCTTTAAATTGAGGTAAATGTATGTGTAATCACCCAAAGACATATTGAGCTTCATGTGAGAATTTTGTCCAAACCTTTTTTTTCCTGTCAGAGCTGCTCATCCAAGTTTGTTGCACAAACCTGCCATAAATCATATTTGTTTTTGCAATAGATTTTAAACTCAATTCATACAAATTAAGTATACATGTTTTCATGTCAGTTTTTTTTTTTTTTCCCCTGTTTATTATTATGTGCACAGCGAGTTCGTATCGTCTGACCAACATGCTGCCCAATGCTCCTGACATGTCACAGCTCAAACTCGGAGTGCGCACAGTCGCAGGAAAACTCTCTGTTATGGCCAGTGGCGTAGTTAACTCCATTCAGGTCAGCCATAAATAAGACACTTCATTAACCCTGATCATATATACATACAAACAGTATGTCTTGCTTGAATGCAACTTGTTACAATGTGTATCTGTTTTTGTTTTTTGTTTGTTTGTTTGGTTTTTTTTCCCTCAGGATCAATACAACTCCTGAGTCGTGTTGTCCTGTTGAGTTCAACGTCTGGTGATTACCAACCAGAGTTGGATCACTTTCCCAGTGAGTGCTGGTTCCTTATCTGGGGAGACAAGGACAGATCAATCAGTGCTTTGGGCGAATCTGCCCTATGACACATCAAAATTTACCCCAGGAATAGCCCATACACATCTATATCTGGTTTGTTTTGGGTTTTTTTTTTTTTTTTTTTTTTTAAGATCATGTATATACAACCATTGCTAGAATCAAGATGGCTGTAGCACAGTATTCGTTCCTCTGCAGGCACCTGGAAGGGGAATCTCTGTGTATAATGCAGTCATGAGGAATATTTGCAATATAATAAACATTTGCTTTGAGGTTTTGGTTATAAATGTTTATTAAAACTGTATGTAGCAGTCTGAAGATTTGTGATGTTATGAAGGAGGGATTTTCTTTTTTAATTCCTTTATTACTTAACTGGTTAAAACACTCATTCATCACACGCACTCTGTGTTGTATTGTCTTGCACATTCCCACATGTTTGAAAGTGTCCTTTCTGTCCCCAAAGTGCACTTATGTTTGCTCTTCCACAGACATGACCAGAAGCTGATAACAAGGCCTTCGGGGACCAGATATATATATATATATTTTTAAATTGAGTACATCAGTTATGTAAATTGATACCTAGCACTTAAGTGTCATTATCTTGCAAATAGCCATGTTTTTATTTTAGGTTATGCATCTGGCATAGTAAAAAAAATTGACATGAAGCTTGAGCAACTATTAAACACTAAGTTTAAAGGCATTTTAGGAAATGTGCTTATTTGTTTCCCTGCTGAGAATTAAGTGCATTTTCCAAAATGCCAAGCTGTTCCTTTAAAAACAGGGAATCAAAGTAAAAGCAATAGAATCCTTCTTGATGTAAATATGCCAGCTGTACTCCATGTAAATTCATTTTTCTTCAGACTCATTGCTTTGAATTGGACACTTTAAAATGTAATCAGGAAAAAATATCAACTTTATTGATTTATTGAATGAAGGGGGGGGGGGCTCTGTTTGATTTATTTTCTAATAGCATGTTCTTTAAAGCTAGGTTTTGCCACTATGGTGGGACTTTTTTTTTCTTTTACTTTCACACCCCAGTGTATATCAGTACATGTCCAATGGAAAAAAAATAATAATAATTTCACCAAACCCTTTAAAGCCTTCAGAGTTTATTTGTTATCACTGTAACATACTGCCAAGGTCTGGGTGCTATCTTTATTTGCATCAGATATAACTAAGGGTGTGATAAAGCACAAACATCACTAGAGGTGGTGCAACAGTGAGATTTTGGATGTGACATTTAAAAACAATAGAAAAGCAGTTTGACATTGGTTTATGGCTAAGAAAGAAATCTACTTCAGATATTGTGCAGGGTTAAGGGACTAGAGATTATAAAGCCCACAGTGGGCACTGGATGGTTAACATTCTGTGCTGTTGTTGCTTCTCGGGAGTATACTTGCTGTATATGAAACACTAAAAGAGGGCAAAGTGAAAGTTGTACATCCTGTGTTCTTCACTTCATTGCTACATGCCTTGGTCCAAAGATCTCTGATTAATGCCCATCACATTGCAATATAATTTGTTAGAAACTACAATTGCTGGTTTTTTTCTTGAATGTACTGTATTGTAATTTAACCTTTGCTTTTAAGTGGATGTGTCAATGTTAGGCTTCAAATTTTGATTATATTTGTAAGATTTTGTCTTCTGCTGTTGTTGAGCATTGTCAAATGTTATTTAGAAGACTAGCAGATTGGGCCCTTTGCATGGCCCTTGTAATTATTAGACCACTGACACATCCTGAATATATAACTGCATATGGCTGCTGGGAACAGTCCACTGAATATTAATGGAATAACAGACTTGTTAATAACTGTTGTTGGCTAAGAACTGCTAGATGCAATGTTGGTTTGGGCTTTGAAGTGTCATTTATAGAAGGCTACTAATCAAGATTTTGGCAGTTTTTCACAGAAAATATCTGATATTTGGAAACATCCAAATAAATGGCTTATGCAAAAAAAAAAAACAACCCCATGTCGTTTTCTTATCTAAATATCAAGCCTGCACCTGGGAAGTGTTTTTTTGTCTGCCCTTAAGTATTCACTCTTTTGATGAAAATGGGCAAACCTTATCCACTGAGAAAATATTTTACTTGATTTGACATAATCGATCGATAGGAAGTCGCTGTACAGTGATTTTCTCTCAGTTGACTCTTTGATTAATAGTTCTGCCCTTGCAGACATTAATGAAGTATGGACAAATTCAGGACAAATGCTGGCAGCCGCTTACGTGGCTGGCTGATGCGTTTTGGGTGCTTCCCGTTCTGTCGGAATTATGGCCATTACGATTGGAGCTCAGTTTAACAATCACATAAGTTAGTACATGTGGCTGAAAAAACCCATGCATTGCTTTACGTGCGAGAGTAAACGTCCCCTGCATTTACCTATTTGTAACAAGGTTTAATATTTTCGATTAATGTACTGATGTACTGCATTCATTTTAGTCCTACGAACTTGCAAGGAGTTCTTGAATGCCGCATTTTCCAGGGAACAGTTCAAGGATTGTTACAACGGTACAACACGCGAAACAGTTTTTTTATTTTATTTTAGCGGCCTACGTTATGTATGAATTTTCCAAACAAGTGTCTTATTTTACTCTACGACGTAACGAATAGGCGTTAAAGTCTTTTTCTCTGTCCCGTTGAATTCCTTTAAGTAAAACGTACCAACAGTGTAAGCCAGTGTGCTAAAATGCCTACTGAATTAAAGCAGAGGAAGAAGAGCCCATCACAAAAACAAAATGATGAAGTACCCGAATCATCGGCTGCAAACGATAAAGACGAAGAGCAAAGAGTGAAGAGAGAAACGGGAACCAGCGCAGGAGCAAATCCAACGTCTTGGATTTTGGACATTAAGAGTGTAATGTGCTTATTGTCGCTTGCGGCATGTGGAGCTCTGAGCTGGTAAGGAAACGGTGTAGTATTAACCTCAGAAACAGCCTTATTCTGCAACTACTAACATGTCTGTCGGATTCAGGGTGGTGCTACAGCAGAACGAGAGGTTTTACCAAATAGAAGAACAGTACAGATCTCTACACGGGAGAACTTCAAGTCTGTTCCACATGGAGGAAGAAGTCCTAAAGGTTTCCAAAAAGGTACGTGTGATTTATGGTGAAACGGGCCTTGAGTTGTGTTAAGGGAGGTTTAAAGGATCATTCCACCCCTGAAAAAAAACACCCAGTTGTCTCATGTAGAAATATGTTAGTCATTATTAGTAATAAAATTCCACGCATCTCAGTTGTATTTTAGTGAAGCTGATTGAGTCACGTGAGAAATCTGAGGGGTCATGATGTGATTCACAGAATAGTAAACAGCAACAAAACCCCACTGGGTTTTTTTTCCTAAGTAAAATGTTTATCAGATGTTTTCATATATGCACTTTTCTTGTGAAATTTTGGACAGTTTTACTTATTCAGTCTCAAAAAAATATTCAAATGGAACAATCTGGATAGGGAATAAAATCACAGCTCATCCAACCTGTAACACCAGTGGTCACCAGCAGGGCTCAAGTCAGAAGACTTACATTATAGAATAACCTTTTGTATACTTGAATTGTATAGAAAATGTAATGAAATTGCCGTTCACACATCCTCCTTACATCTCTCGACATTTGTGTGCTCTTTCAACACACTGCTTTCTCTTTCGCCATTCACTTGCATTGTCTTTCTGTATGCATGAGCTTTGATTCCTACTCTGTGTTGTGTGTGAATACTGAGCACCATTGAGCTCCTACAGAAACAGCCCTCCTGTTTTGTGTTGCGGCTGCAGCTTGCCGCCTATGAGGATGACCTACAGGCGGCGTTCTCCACCGTCTCCTTGGCAAAAAGACTCCAGCAGGATATCGCCACCCTCCACACTGCTGTCATGGCAATGCAGGCCGATGAGAACTCTGCCTCCCGTGACCTGCAGACAGTCAACACCCACTTCCTCAACGTGACAGAGACGTGGCAGGGGCGCCTGGCCATCATCTCCTCCGACTTGGAGGCCATTAAGGCCGAGTCACGGGAAGCTCATGCTGGAGTCACAGACCAAGTGAACGAGGCTGAGCGGAGGGCCCGGTTGCTGGCAGAGAGATTGGAGGAACTTGAGGACAGCACAAAGAGGAACGCTCGAGCCCTGGAGCGTACAGAGGAAGACGACATCAGGCGAGCGCAGGATCAGCTGGACTGGAACACCAAGCAGGTCCACAAGCTGGAGGAGCAGATCAGCAGCCTGACCAAGAGGGAGGCAGAGCTCAGCTCCCTGCTCCAGGATCACATTCCCCGTGCGCAGGAGTGTGAAGAGCACCTGCCAGAGGTAGAGGAGGCGGTGCGCTCCATCCTAAGGCTGGGAGGTGATCTGAGTGGGGCTGAGAAGAGGCTGGAGGAGTTGACATTGCAGGTGTTTGGGACAGAGGACAGCATGCTGAAAGCCCTCAATGAAATCCTTGAGATCAGACAGGAGCTGGACACCCTGCAGGCTCAAAACAGCATCCTGAAAATGAAGAATGAGCTGTCCGTGGTGAAAGAGGCGGTCCGTGAGCTCACCCTGGTGCTGAGGGAAAGTAGGGTTGACAGCCAGAAGGACTCTGACACTCTAGAAGAGGAAGAATGGAAAGATGAAGAGGATGAAGAGTGGGGAAAAGATGACCAGGATGAACCAGCTCCCCCATTTCATGATGACCTCACTGAATGATGTCCTTCTTTTCATTTCGCTAACAGGAAGACAAGCAGCTCTGATTCTATTCAAGTTCAGCATCAATGTATTGTGACGGTATTGTCCGAAGATTGCGACTTCAGCATGAGCTCTGGCACACATGCACTGTATTACACACAAGTACAAATAAAAATGTATTTAATAGTTTTGTTAATGCAGAGCAGCATATTTAGGTTCTCATAGAAATTGTATAAGGTTTGCCCCATTATTCTTAAACCAGCCATTTTCATTATCTGTACCAGTGTTTGGGGATGCACATAAATACATCAGAGCTGAAATGATTAGTTGATTGACAGGAAGAAAAATTAGTATAATGAATTATTTTAACACTTTATCAGAGGCCACAAATGCCAAATACTCTTCAAGTTCTAGTTCCAGTTTTTGCATATTTGCTGATTTTATTTGCCATATTTGCAAGAGCATTTTTAGGGTTTGGATGTTGTCTGGGGGAAAAACAAGCAACTTGATGACATCATCTTGTTCGTTTGGAAAATTTCTTGGGCATGTTTTGCATTTTGGGGGGAAATTTTATAGACCAAACACTGAATAAAAAAAGAAGTGATAATGAAAACAATCACCGGTTGCAGCCCTGAACTACATTTGTCTAGTTTACCTTAGTGTTACCTTATATTTGATACAGGAATGGTGTTTGTACTGTAGCTGTGTAGTAAATCTTGTTTTTGATGACTTTCCATCTGATTTTGGTTTGAAAATCCATCTGTTTAAAAGCATGGCAAATTATCACTAGGCTTATTAAATAAAATCTCCTTTTTTAGTACAAAGCTCCAATTTGTTTTCATTTGTTTTGTTCACACTTGTTTCTCATACAGAGAAATAACCTGAGCTGATGTCTTGTAACTTATGATTGTTTTAAATAACTTCCATCCCCTTCGCCTCTCATTCTGCGCATGTCACTCCATGTACTCCATGTCCTGTTTCAGTGTGAGAGCGTCAAGGTGACGCTGCAGGGCCTTGGGGGTCAGCAGGGGGCTCTGCAACTTCAGATGGAGGATTTGGAGCGGGACGTCAGCCACCTGAAGGACTGGGCCTCCGGGCTGAATGAGAAACGAACTCAGCTGCAGAGCAGCCTCACCACACTGAGAGACGCCGTGGGACAGATCGAAGAACGCACCTTGGCCATCGCTAAGGACTTTGCCAACAAGGTACATCAGATTGTGTTGTTTGTTGTTGTTTTCTCTTAACACATTTTCTCACAGAGAAGAATCTTTTTACAGTAGAAACTTTTCCTGGTGTTGTTTGGAACATTTTTCTCAACCCCAGTTCTTCTCCTGTATTCCCCCTGTAGGTAGCATCAGTTAGGACAGATGTGCGCAGAATGGATGGCCTGCAGTCTGAGCTGGAGTCTCTGCTCTCTCAGGTTGGGGAGCTGGAAGACAAGACCAGTCAGGTGGAGCGTGGCATGGTCAAACGCATCGCGGATGTACTGGCTGGCAGCATCGACCGAGTCTCTAATCTCCGTGCTGCTTCTGAACGCAACACGCAAGCCTTAGAGCAGCTGCGCAGGCACATCTCTGAGCTCACCGCTGCAGACAAGCAGATCTCTGAGCGCTTGAGGGATCTAGAGAGCGGCAGAGCTCGTTTGATAAGAACAGTGACCTTTGCCAGTGACCTTAAACCAAAAGTTACTGCTATCAAGAGGGACTTTGGGATGTTTGAGCCCCAGCTGTCAGATCTGACTCTGCGGATAGGTCGATTAGCAGAGGATCTCACTAAGAGAGAGCAGGAGATCACTGAGCTTAGACAGACTTTAGCTAACCTCACTGCAGTACAGGGAGATTTAAGTGTTACAACTAAACAGGTTAGTGAAATAGCCGATATGTCCGATATTGGAGAGATGCACAGGCCGACATGAAAAACAGTCTTCAGCGACTTCAGCCAAACAGAGGCTGAGGGATTTCTTTGGGGCCAGGGGGGGGGTTTGCTCAGCATTGCTGTTGGTTAACTGTCATACTACTGTTTAAACATTTTATTTAAATAAATCGGACATTTACCAAACTGTCTAAAAATCACTTTGAAGCACAGGTCTGTAGACAGGATCCACCCAAATCCTTTCAGAAGTATGAACAATCTGTGTGCGAATCAGTCAGCATTTCTAAAACTTGACATGTTCACATGTGGTTAAAGGAGGTGATGAAGAATAATGCTGACTGTATTAGAGTTACGTGGCTGAGATTGGACTGAAATCAACAAGCTAACTCACAGTTTCAGATAATGACTTATTCTCAGAGACAGTAGGTTTTCTCGGCTGAGTAATGACGCTCATGAATCTTAAAAACAGTGGCACTGTGGCATAACTCTTCAGTGCTGTCTGCACATGGTTTTCAGTCATCATGAGGTGGACAATCATCTGCTCAACTCCACAGCAATGTTTTAATGTGTAGTGGCAGATTATAAATAATGTGATGATACATTGAGCTTTAAATGAGAAGTTTAATCAAAACATTCTGAACAATTTGCTACAGTATATTAGAAAATATGTAGTTGAGACGGAATTTTAACTTGATTTTAGCAGCCCTTGGGTACGTCCCACCCATCAAAGTTTGTTTTCATTCCCACCTACACGATCAACTTCACCAGCAATGCAACAGCAAAGGCAGCTGAGCCAAAGCAACAAATCAGAAGAAACACTTTCTCACAGTTTAGCGTCAACAACAGTTTATTCTTATAAAAAAGAAAGTGAGTAAACAAAGGAGTGTTCAAAAACACTTTTGAGGTTAAAAAAACAGCCTTCCCACAGAAAGTTTCAAATCTAACCAAATAATTAAAAACATTAGAAAATAAAACTACAGTGCACATCGAGTGTGGATTTGGACTCACAGACAGTCCAGCTCTGTCCTCTATCTCTAACCCAAATGTCTTCAGGCATCTTTTCTACTAAAATGTGCAACATCATGACATGAACCATCAAGTTTTAGCAATAATTCTTCATAGAACTAGGAAATGTGGGTTCACATTTACTATTGTCCCTATTGTTACTATTGTCCCTATTGTCCCTGTTGCTGGATGCTTTGGCATTCTGCTGTGGTACTGATAATTTAATGTCCCTACTTTTCCTTGTGAGTGCCTGTGCTGGCTCCTGCAGTACTGGCTTAAGAGCAGAAAAGGCCTGATCATGGCCTTCTAGCTTGGCTGCTTGTCTTCCCCTCCAGATGCCATGCTTTCTCCGGCTACTCCTGTTCCTTGATGCTGCTGTCCTCCAGAGCAGAAAGCCTCTTCTCCAAGTCCTCCACCTGCTGACCCAGATTGGAGTCCTGTGAGGCTAACTCAGTCTGGGCACCACTCAGAGCATCCATGTTGGCTTGAATCTCCTCCAAATAGCTTTTCAGGGCTTCCAGCTCCTGCTCTAAGTCAGTTCTGGCTTCCTCCGCACCCTGCCCCTTTGCAGCTAGAGTGCTTTCATGGGTGTTGTACTTTTCAAGCAGTGATTCCACTTTAGAGGAGAGTTCTTGCACTGATGCGGACAATAAATCTCCACTCCCCTCTGATGCTTTAACTCTGGCTTCCAGGTCATCAGTTCTTTTCTGCACCTGAGCAGCTGCTTCATTCACCTGTATCTCCACATGATGAACAGCACCAGCCGTCTGCTCCATCCTGCTCTCCAGTGTCATGGTATTGTCCTTCAAAGCCTGAACTCCGGTCTCTGCTGCAGACAGTGACTGCCTCAGATTCCCAACAGTCTCATGTACTAGTGACCTCACTGTTTCGACCTCCTGAGACAGTGATGCCATCTCCTGATTGCGAGTCTGGAGCTCTTCCCTCACAGCACTTATCTGCTCCCTGAGTAAATTAACTGAAGAATAAGCCTCCTGTTGGGTTTTGATTTCAGCTACAGCATCAACAATGGCAGAGAGCTCTTGTTTGATGAGCGCAGGGTCTTCCATGTCACCCAGACGGGCTTTGAGATCAGCCAGCTGGCTCTGTGCCTCACCCTGAGCTTCAGTGAACTCAGCCACGCTGGCTGTGATGGACTGACTCACTTCAGCCAGGCGATCCTCGACAGTCTTCTCCAGGGAAGAGAAGTCCTTCTCGCGGGCCACTTTGACCTCATTGATTCCCTCTGAGAGGTCCTTGAGCAGATCGTTCTGGAGCTTCTGAAGAGCCTCCTCTACCCTTCTTGTCTCTTCCTCACCCCTCTTCATCCTGCTGACGGCCCCCTCCAGCTCCACCTGTGTGATGCCCAGTGAAGACTCCAGCCTGTTCACAACATTCGTCAGAGACCCCACCTATCGAACAAATCAGGAAAACATATCCAATGACCATGAAACAACTGTAAAAGTTCCCTCTACTGTATATGCAAAGGTACATTATAATAATCTCAAATAATTTTGCCAAAACATCAGCTATTCATAAGCTCAGAAAACTCTTTGTGTCAATTTATTTTTCAGATAATCCAGTAGTTTCTGAATCATTTATTCAGTTTACAAAGTAGGAAAATGTTTGCTGTCCAAAGGAATACATCTTACTTCAGTTTACTGGAACAATTCAAAACGCGCCCTCTTGTGACCACCATGCGCTCCAACACCCATAAGAAAAATAATGACTGACAGTTTTAGTACTGATCGATCATCGTAGTGATTCAAATAATATTAGAATAAAATAAAATTGACATCAATGAAAAACCAGAAGACTTGAAAATGTACTAATTTACACACTTTCTGCGTCATGACGTAATTATATTTGAAAACGTACTAATTTAAACACTTTCTGCGTCATGACGTAATTATAATGCAGATCTAGGGCACCAACAGAGCCTGGGCCGTCCCTGACAATACATGAGGGAGTATGATCAGGAACGACAAAAGAATGAATGGAGCGAGAGAGGCCTTCACCTATATGAGCCAATAGATGCACCAAACAAGAAAGTAGATCCACAAATCATTTTCAGTCCTGCTTAAGAGATCGATGACCAGACATTACGATGCCAACTCATGCGCTTCAGAAAATAAATGGAGCGCGTCGAAACTGAAGTGACTGACAGAATGAACTCATGAAAAGTAGAAAAATAGTATAGAAATAGTTTATTTTCACTCAGTCTGAAACTTTTTCCCCACTTTGCATAAGTAGTTCACCATACCCATAGCTGTAGTTTCTACCCTTTGTGTAAATGCACCCAACCCCCAACAGTACAGTACGATTATAAGGCCTGTGTCCTTCCAACAGCAGCACTGATTTCCGGTCTAACTTAATTAAAGAGTTCTGAAACAAGTTTGGGAACATCAAACCTGAATTTGGCACCACTC